GTTCATAATAATAGAAATTTTTTAATCAAAGTTAGTGATAATGTTAAAATTTTGACGAACATTTACTAAAAGAATCCTTGTAATCTGAAGGGCTATTTAATAAACCTATTGACTTGTTTTTTACCAATCTATGTTGCAAACTTACAAGGAATTCTTATTGGTCAATAATAAGATTTTTACTCACCAAAATGCCCAAAAAATCACCTAACACTGAGGGCTTATTTTAGGTTAATACTAGATAATCAATAGCATCGGGATTTGTCTTTGAGGTCTTATGAGAGGTGTGTTTTTTTGCAGTTTTGAACCAATTTAACGTCGTCCTGGTCGAAGGCCGGTTAGGTACGTAGTTACAAATTTGACAAACATAGGTAACTTTTCTTGGGTGGTAGCCCATTTTAACAAAATGTATACTATATAATGTGCGGTTACAGTCATAGAAAGAAATATATAAAAATAACCCGAAGAAGTAGTCCATAGGATATCTGCAAGTATATCGTTTCTTTCCTTACCCACTATATTCCATTTCTCCTCATATCCGGTTATGTTGCCCTGAGGGCGGCTTATGTACTTGAATGTCATATCTTTCCGACGAATACAGGGATTATCTGAATGTTGAAGGGGCTTCTCATGTATGGCCGGTTTTATTCTCGTATCATCGATCTGTACAGCGGTTTCTCTTATTTGAAATGGAAACGTTGTTCCTGAAATGCTTGACCGCATGTCATGGAAAGTTTTACGGAACTATGGCCATCAAAAAATGATAAAATACCGGTAAGCTTTGTTTACAGCTGGAAAATCGAACTCGTGAGACCTACCGCTATTCTAATAAAGTTGAATTCAGATTCATTATCCGAGTATACACACTGGATATACTAGGGGCTTGGTCGAATTGAAAGCTAAGATTTTTTTAAATGATTCATCAATAGTATACCTTCATACTTCAAAGCTTCTTAAGACGAAATTTTGATTATCTTGGACGTCAATATGACCACTAAAGGATGATGAACCTGGCGAAGCTGCCGCGCGGACAGAATCCTAAATACCGGGGCACCGCAGCTGCTATAACGAGCTTAAAAAGGCCTTGATAGTTAGATTTTTGAACTGTCTAAGGTTAGTATTGTTGGGCAAAGCCTTCTTAGGCAGATTATTCTACAATCTCGACACCCGAGAGACAACGGAGTGGTCGTACCCACTCAGTTATTGTGGGAGACCGAACGCGGGTCTGCCTGCCAGGCTCATTGTGCACTGGCATCGTGTTGCAGCTCTGAAGAGCAAAGTCTGTGCGAGAGAGTGTCCGTTAAAGAAAAGTCATCGATCTATCGGACAGCCCTCCTCTGAATCGAGCACAGAAAATGTAGTCGGGGCGGCAGCACCCAAAACATGTGAGCAGTACTCGAAGCTTGTCTGGGTGTCGTAGAGAGTGAGAGCATATGTAAAGTGATCCAATCTTAAAAAATGTTCATTCTCGATTGAACATTCCGCAACAAGTCTCTCTTGTCCGTTTTTTCCAGTGAAACTTCAACAATTCAATTATCAAGTATGGATGGTAATCTAAAAACAGTGACATTTGGTCACCTTAACGTTCGTTCTATCCTGTCTAGTTTTTCTGACTTTGTGGATATATTAACTTTACCAGAGTACGACTTTTTCGCGGTGACCGAAACATGGTTGACTAGCAATATACATACTGAAGTTGTTAAAGTTCCAGAGTATAACTTTTATCTCAAAGATAGAGAAGGCCGACGAGGTGGCATTGGCATTTATATTAAATCTATGTATCAGGTGAGACTTCTTGACTTTGGTATTGATACCAGCACAGTTATGGAAAGCATCTGGCTAGAGGTTATTCTTCATAAAGAAAAATTTTGCATTGGTGTCATTTACAGACCCCCATCTAAGTCCTTTGGCGATTTTGCTAACGTGTGGGACTCCGTCCTGCCTTTGTGCATCTGTTAGTATGATAACGTTTTAATATTAGGTAACATAAACTCTGACTTAGCTAATGCCGACAATAATCTTAATAAATGCTTTTCGTGTTATGGTTTTTGCCAAATGGTTAAAGAACCCACCCGTATCACGGAAACTTCAGCCACTCTAATTGATGCAGTTTTTTCAAATACTAAGGAACTTTTTATAGGCACAATGGTTTTGGATGCTGGGGAAATTTCCGTTCACCGACTTGTATGTTACTCGCTGGAAATTGCTGTCAAAAAAACTAAGCAAACTTTCATGTCTTTTCGAGATTTTAAAACTTTGATGAAAACGGATTTTGTAGTGATTTAAGCTCAATTGTTTAGCACGACCTGATATTATCGAATGACATCGATAAAAAAGTTTATTTCCTTACAAGAAACATTCTTAACGTTTTTGATATCCACGCGCCGCTCACAACGGTGAGAGTCAATAAATGTCAGGCCCGTTGGTTGACCTTTCCGTTAAAAATTATTCTGAAAGAACGTGATGTTGCACTTAGAAAATATAAATCCGATAAAATAGTTTCGAGCTGGTTAAGCTACAAAGAAAAACGTAATTTTGCTCTTGCGTCAATTAGGCGTGAAAAAGCGGGTTACCTATTTTTCTTGCAAGAGCATCATATGTCGAAAGAACTTTGGAGAGCTTTAGGTAACATACATATCGGTGGCTTTAATTCAAAGACAAGAACTGAAAGTATTCCATCTCACCTCAATGATCCAAGCACTATAAACGATTATTTTGCAACAGTGTTTCATTGTGCGCAGCCCGACGAAGCAACATTCAATTTTTATCACGATAACACGTTTTGCAATCGGAGATTTTCCTTCACTCTGGTTGAGCCTACTACTATCAAAACTGATGTGAGTGGCCTTAAGTCAAATGCAAAGGGTATTGACGGTATATCTATTTTTATGATTAAGCTATCTCTGCCTATTATACTACCTTACTTGACCCATATTATCAATCTGTGTATGGAGAAGGGCTACTTTTATAAATCTTCGAGACGAGCAATAGTAAGGCCAATACCTAAGGTCAGGAGAAAATCATTTATTTGCAAATCTTAGATTTTTAGAGTCAAGTGACATACTCCCAGTACATCAGTCTGGGCTTAGAAAATCATACAGTACTACAACTGCTCTTCTTAATTTAGTGGACCCACCGTTCTCAGCGCGTCTCACTTTCTGGAGTTTTGTCAAATGAGCACTTTATCACTTCGGGTGTGCCTCAGGGATCAATTTTAGGACCCTTGTTATTTTTAATTCATGTAGCCGATACTGCTAAGTCCATTCAAATTTCACAGCTACAGTCTTATGCGGATGACACTCAACTGCTTTACTTCTTTTATCCTGAGAACCTCCAGACTGCTACTATGGAAATTAACGAGGACATTGACTCTATTTGCACCTACTCAGCCAATAACAGCCTAACTGTTAATCCGTCTAAATCTTCTGCTGTGCTGTTTTGTCCAAATAACAGAAGAGCCGAAGTCAAAGCTTCCTTGAGTATATATATTAACAATCAAAATCTTCCTTTACCTGAAAGTGTCAAGTGTCTAGGTGTGTCTATTGATGAAAACGTGCGGCTTCGTGAACATTTAAATAACCTCTTACAAAGAAGTTACATCCGTCCGAGAACTCTGTATGCGAACAAAAATTTGCTGAATTTTAAAGTGCGAAAAAAGTTGTGTGAATCTTTTGTGTTATCTATTTTTAATTATTGCAATCTAGTTTATCATCCTTGTTTGGATGTTGCAAGTCGTAACAGAATATCTGTAGTACAAAATAACTGCGTACGATTCATATTTAGTTTAAGAAAATTTGATCATGTTTCGAGTCGTTATCCTTTAATAGGTTGGTTAAAGATGACAGATTTAGTTAAATACAACTATCTAACCTTTATACATAAGTTACTTGTCTCTGGAACTCCCAATTTATTTACGTGAAAAACTAATTTTTAGGTATAATCTTCATCAACGACATATCCATAACACATTCGCTTTAACAATGCCCCTTCACAGTTCATCTATTTTTAATAGGTCCTTCTCATATAATGCATGCCTGTTGTACAATAGCTCAGATTAGAGAACAAAAAGCCTGTCGCTGTATAGTTTTAAAAAAAACTTAAGAGCTCTTCTGCTCAATGGTGATTCTTAAAGGTGTTTTTCTCCAGCATTATATTTTTAAGCTAATTTTTATTTAGGTTGTAATCAGTTATATGGGCATTGGCCTCCTTTTATTTTCTTTACAGCTGTACTTTTTTACCATCTATTATTCTTATGCAGTTAATGGTTAAGTGTAAGAATAGCTGCCATAGCTAAACTTCGCCATTTAGCTGCTCACTAATCTAATTATAGATATTAATGTATGCATTATCTGTAATTTGGTTTTCTAATAAAAGACTGTTTATTATTTAATTTTGTGGAGAAAAGTACTTCGTTTGGAATAAACAGTGAGCTACCTAGTCGTAAGCAATGTAAGCCAACTTAAATGAAATTACACACAGTTGTATGCGACATACGTGTGTTCATTTTAGTAATACTAATATTTACATACTAATAAACTTCAATAATCTAATAACTAATACATACTACATAAGTACACCCATTCCTACCTACCTAATCGTAGGTGTTTGAAAATAAACTAAATTTTTCGTCAGCTACAATGGCATGTCACATATGATTTAATAAAGGTAACTAAAAATAAAAAAAGCAACGCACTATTTTAAACAGAAACATGTCCCCATTAAAAACGCGTGTTCAATGAAAGCCTGACAACTCACTGACATTTTTTTTAATGTTTGTAGTATAATTTGATACCGCCATTCGAATACAATTATCCAAATGTTCATTTGTATGTCGATTATGGTATTTGTTTTTATCAAACTTCATATTTGAAAAAGAAGATTTACACCAATAGGTTGAACTAAATAACGCTTTCACTTACAAGACAAAACGACATAAAACTGAATATTTATCTTTACTTACGGAAGGCCAGATACATTTTGTATTTGAGACTAATGATTTTAAAGCTAAATCATTTTGAAACGCAATCACTTCCATTTCTGTCGCAGCGGCGCCTTCGCTAAAATTCTGCGTAACAGAAGTTGCAAACTGTTGGATATCAATTTCCATTAAGGGTGAAACAACAAATTGCGCCACTATAGCAATTTCGTTGAAAACCTTGAAACGATTTTTAAAGTTATCCTTCAAGCTAGAGGCTATTTCTAAATGATGTTTACTGTCATATAGTGCTAATGGACTTTGAGATACCTTTTCCGAAAGATCTGGGAAAATGCCTGGTATCGCCATCGATTAAGTTTTGTTCCTATAGCTCAAGCTTTTTGATAAACTCTTTTGTATCAGAAATCATTTCTGCTAGTTCTTTGAGAAGAAAGCCAAAATCTCTAAGCCAGATAGAATTTTTCAGTTCCGAAATTGGTTCATCACGTTGTTTGAAACATTGAACCATGCAGATATGATATCATTAAAAAGTTTCAGCACTCGTCCCCTTTAGAGTGAAGAAGTAACTCCCCGTATTGACAGTTAATTTTATTGGCCAAGGTTTTGAATAATCTTCTTTGTATCGCTTGAGCTCAATTTTTACTACCAATTTCATAACGTTGTTTAGTTTTAGAAAATGTCCACATAATGCTTGCTGATGGATTATGCAGTGGTAACAGACAAATTGCGTAAAACTTTCATCTGTATGACATAACCCTTATCAAGACCCATCATAGCTGGAGCGCCATCGGTTGTCAAGCCTACCATTTTCGATATTGGAATTTTCTCAGCAGAAATAATATTTATAAAATAATAAACAAGTCCTGCCCAGTAGTCTGTCCGTTTTGTGGAATAAACTTCAAAAGATCTTTAATCGTAAAATCAATAAAAACCATCCTGACGAACACGGCCATCTGAGAGGTGTCAACGATATCTGTGGATTCATCTAGCTGCAGTGAAAAATAAACACAGTTATAGAAGTTATTTCTTAACTGTGAAACTATAGCATTGCTCATTACTTCTACTCGTCTCATCACTGTATTAGCAGAAAGTTGCAAAGATTTTATAGCAGACACTATCTCGTCTTTATTTCTAAAGTTGGCAAACAATGAATCTGCAGCTTCTAAAAAAGCCTGTTTTATCATTTCCCCATCTTCATAAGGTTTCTTGTGTAATTATCTGGGACACCCGGTATGATGCTTCAGTTGCAGCCTTACTTTTGTCGATTGTTCTTAAAAACATTGTCTGTTGTCCAATTAAATGATTTTTTAATTGTTTCAGTTTTTCCGTTCTGGTTGCAGAACGTATGGGAGTGGTTTTTCAAAATTCGAATGTATAGTTTTATTGTGCCTCTCAATATTCCCTTTTTGAGCAACAGAAAGAGGGGTATCATATAACAAACATACATTTTTACCTTTAATTTATGTAAAAAATAGTGTTCTTCCCATTCCAAATGGAAATGGTACGACTTCATCTTTCTACTACTGCTCATAATGTTTTTAATGTCAAGTCAACTCTAACCCAACCGCTGGACATTGTGCCATTCAGTTATAAACTGAGCGCACTGTCGCCGCGCCTTGCATATTTATTCTGTTCAAAATAATCGAGATCGTTCTCGAACAGATCGCTCCCCGCAGTGTTGCCGCTGCTTGTGTTTATTATGAGAATTTAAAACTTTTACGGAAGCTTCTAAAATTTTTACACCTTTTTAAATTATATTGTGAACCACCTAAATTGATTTTGCGAGCTACCGGTAGCTCGTGATCGACAGGTTGACGACCACTGCTCTAAGCAAATAACCCAGCTTTTCCCAGTAGTTGCCGTGATTGACGCTGCATTACGCTTTGATATATTGATATTAATAAATTTGAACATTTCATCTTACAAACACAATCGGGTTTTTAGAAATAGCGGTAATAACATAGGGTCGATGAAGATAGAAGTTATGGAAATTATATAATAAAAAATATATTTAAGAAGTGTTACAAACTTGTTTAGGATGTGCTTGACCCGATTGTTTAACTGAGCGGGTAATGGAATAACCTCTCATTAAGTGCACCAGATGCGACAGTAGGGCGGGTGGACATGGAGCAATATACAGATGTAATTATTGTTGAAGAGGAGCTCCCATGTCAATTTTAGGGAAGGAGCTTATAGACTACAAATAGTTGGGTCACTGGTGGAACATCCTTCTATATTCTCAATTGTTTAGCAGAACCAAAAATCTCCCAGTAGTCATATTCTTCCATACTACTTTTCGGGAGTTTTTCCGTAGACTGAAAATACTTGACGTGTCGCGTCTAGGTCGCACTTGCCGTACGCTACAAACTTACCCCGGTATCAATAAAATCCTGTCTGTGTGACGGTCTGTCCCCTAATCCTTGGATGTCCTATAACTTGGAAAGAGCCGTTCGGATTTTGATAAAATGTTCACACAAGGTTACTACTATGTCATACACCCAAAATCTTTGTAGTTTTTGAAAATCGGTTCAGTGGCAGCGCTCTTACAGGAAAAAATTGAAATCGCTCAAACTTCGTTTTTCGATATTTCAGATGATCCGGATTATATTTGAAGATTTTTTTAGATGTAAAGAAACTGCGACGTAATTTTCGATGCTAATGTATTAAATTAAATCAACCCCGGTAATTCTGCGCACCTATGATACATATTTCACATACCACAAATTTCGCCGTACAGTTAACCAGAACTTGAAAGATTATGTTCAGCCTATCGGTCGCATATGCCGTGCGCCACGGTTTTTTTATAAATATTGCATATTTGGTATTCGATCCGAGCAGGCAAGCAGCGCGGCGACATACGAGGTGTGCGCGATATTATCTATACTAAGTATATGAGCCTTATGCTTGGAGTGTATTTCAAGGATGTTATTTGGTTTCGTGACGTAATATTATGTAGTACAGTATACAGGGTGTTCCTTAATGATATGAACATATTTAAGGGGTGAATCTACATGAAAAATTAATTTTATGTTGCTTTATAAACTATGCTAAAAAAATGTTTCCTTACAATAACTCGGGGTGTTGCAGTTTTAGGAAAAAATGGGAACTAACTAATATTTTAAGAGCCGCTTCAGATATTTCACTGATATGTAGTACGTTGTGAAAGTTAATAAAGTTGCATAGTTTTCAATGCAAAAAGGATTTTTGGCTTTAACAGTGGCGTGCGTACGGGTATTGACTTCGATATTTTTTAAGAAAAAAATGGCACGCCAATGTTTTATTGCCAAATAAAAATTATTTTCATTACCCCTAATGTGTTTAATTTTTCCAATTATATTAATAATAATTTTGCAAGTTAGACAATAGAACGGTTTTTATTTTTTTACTCAAAAAATGGCGCATCGAAGGAAAAAAATTCAAGAGAGATCATTTGTTTTAAATTGAACGGGCAATTAAAAAAAATTTATTTGGCCAAAAAACCATCGGCGTACCATTTTTTTCTTGAAAAATATCGAAGTCAATACCCATACGCACGCCACTGTTAAAGCTAAAAATTATTTTTGCATTGAAAAATATGCAACTTCATTAACTTTCACTACCTACAAAATGTCAGTGAAATATCTGAAGCGGTTCTGAAAATATTAATTAATTTCCATTTTTTTGCTAAAACTTCAACACACCGAGTTTTTGTAAGGAAACATTTTTGGACCATAGTTTATAAAGCAAACTAACATTAATTTTTTATGTAGCCCCTTAAATATTCGCATATCATTAAGAAACACCCTGTATAAGTATTTATCAAGAGCTATTATGATCAGTTACTGAATATTGTTGACAAGCAGTTTTACAACAGAGCTGCAAACTAATCCTGTATGGATATGCTAATTGCTGCAATCTGGGAAAATGTTTTTTCATGAACATCCCAAATGCAGTGCATTACTGGTTCTGCCAAAACCCACGTCTTTTTGATATCATTGCACTACATGAAAAATTGTACTAGAAGTTGTTTTGAAATCGTGTGAAGAATGGAATCAATCTGCTTGACGCCATTTTTTAACAATATACTTGTTATTTAAGTCTGTGGTTAATTTAGGGTGTAGTTAGGGGATTCAAAAATACAAAAATTAATAAGGGTCATTGTTTTTACTTACAGAAAACATTGGGTTATCAAGGATATTTAATTTGTAATATGGGCCTTTACAGGGTGAAAGATAGACAGATATATTTCAGAGTATGATTCCTTGTTAAAAAACCATAAAAAGCTGCTATAAACATGGGTCCGGAAATGCAGAGCTTTCAAGATACAGGGTGATAAATTTGAAAAAAACTTTTTTTATTAATATCTTAACAAATATTTACTCGGTTCTGTTGAACTTTGGCAACATTATTTGTTGTATTAAGAGGCTAATTCAGCCCTAAATAATAGGTTCAGTGGCGTCCCGGGGACACCTTAGCGAATATTATTGGCAAAAAATATACGCCACTGCCTTTTTTGTTACTTTAATATTTTTTGTTTTATCAAGAATCTAAAAATACAACTTCGTTTTCGAGAATAAAAAATAAAAACCGTTTTGTTACACGTCACTGGACACAATTGGTTTATTAATTTTTGCTCAAAAATCACAAATGCCTTGGAAAACAAAAAATAATTTCTGCATGGAGATTTGACATTTGCGCGTCAGTTCAAACGTCAACAGAATCAAGTAAATATTTTTTAAGACAATAATATTTTTTTTAATTTATCACCCTGTATCTTGGAAACTGAATTTCCGGACCAATGTTTATAGAAACTTTATTCCATATTTTCTTTTCTCAAGGAATCACCCTACCAAATATCTCCGTCTATTTTTCGAACACGCTGTATAGATGGTTGGAGAGTACTGGGTCATGATACCATTTTTAATGAAATGCTCTTAATCCGGTCTCCTCAGACAGCTTCAATATGGCCTACCGCAACGCAATAATCAAAATAGTTCAAACGCAATGTTGTTGATGAAGCCCCGAATCAAAACGAATCCTTCCGCGATTTGTGGGTACGCGAGTGTATTATCGACATGGACGTGATCACAAACGATGTGACGTGAGATGAGTGCTCGACTGCCTTTTATCAAGGACTACTATCCGGTGCCGACATCCCCCTTGTGGCAGATGCTCACCCCTGGCGGAGAACAGTGGATAGGGGAAGAAACTAAGAGAGCTATGCCGCCCCACGTTTACAAGTATTATCTGCAGAGGACCCGGTGTTATCGCAGGCAGAGTCTCAAGGTAACTATTTCGCATAAGGTAGAATGCATCTTTTTTCTTTACCTTGTTACTTCCAGGATAACTGATCTTTCTTTATTTTTTCC